AGAGGAGGGTATGGAAAAATTATTCAACAAAAGGTTGGAACAACTGATGGTTCATTTGCTCGATAACTAGTTTTTAATATTACGTCAATTCATCTTCATTAATTTTTTGTATTATCAATTTTCATAAATAAATTTAGGGTTTTTTGATTATGTTACGTCTTTCATTTATTTTTTGTTATCTATGGCCAATGTATAATTGGCTAACACAAAATAAAAAGTCGAGAAAGAAGAAGAATCATAATTATAATAAATTCGACTAACTTCATTTTAACTGATTTTAGCTCCTTAACCCATAGCGGCGGAAAAATGTACCATTGGATTGTGGTTGTGTGTATTTTATTTCTATGAATTGCTTATGTCAAAAAATTTAGTAAAGTAGATAACGGGTTATGTTCAGTTTCATTTAGTTTTAAAGGAAATGTCAACAAAAATCATTACTAATGACAGAAACTACTTTTATTTAGTAAATTATGATGAAAAATTCTTCTAAAATGAAGTCAGAAGAAAGGTGAAATTCTATAAAATATATTAATCATAAAAATGGAAGCTGGGGAATATATCGCTAGTTAATTAAACTTTTAATTTAACGATGGGGCATGTAAATGAGACAAACAGGAAAGACTTTGTACAGAACGTGAAACATTTGAGATTGTCTCGGTTAATAGTAATTTTGTCGTTAATTTTATTCATTGTACCTTTAATTACTCATTATTACTTGTCAAGTGTAGAACTTAGTTCTGATCGTATAACTCATAATGCACATTCTCATGTTGACTTGCCTGAAGACTTGAATTTTTTAAGCGAAACTGATTTAAAGTCTAGAATTGATGAGCTATTAAGAATAAAAGGATCAGTATCCAGTGAATTAAGAGATATGGAAAATAAAAGACAAAAGCTGCAACAAGAACTTCAGCAGTATTCAAGACAAATCGAGCAGTTAAAGCAAGAATTAGCACATCAACAGACAGAACTTGATAAACTTAAAATATCAGTTCAACAAGCGCAGGTGGCACAAAGGGAAGCACTGGAGCAAAATTCACCAGAGTTGGCTTTACCTAAAAAACTAGTAGCTAATGAACTTCCTGATTTTCTACCTTTATCTTCAAAAACTGTTTCCAAACTGTGTAGATTATCTACTTGTTTTGATCACTCGAGGTGCTCTCTTACATCAGGTTTTCCTGTATACCTTTACAGTCCTGATCAGTATCCTGTTATGAACAGTGGTTGGGATGTTGATGGATTTCTGAAGACAACTTTAAAGCAAGCACTGGGATACAACCCTCATTTAACATCTAATCCTAAAGAAGCTTGTATTTATCTTGTTTTAGTTGGAGAAGCACTAAAAGATTTTGATCAACCAAGTGAGGATATAAGTTATTCAGAAAATATACCTTTAAATTCAGAGGCCTTAAAACATTTACCATATTGGGGAGGTGATGGTAGGAATCACGTTCTTTTGAATTTAGCAAGACGTGATTTATCTGTAAATTCTAAGGATCTTTTTGATGGTGTTGACACAGGCAGGGCTATTTTGGTGCAGTCTACATTTACATATAGTAGATTTCGCTCAGGATTTGATTTAATTGTTTCTCCAGTAATTGGTCCTCCTGGGGGAGATGTATGGCAGGAGTGTGCTCTAATGTTGCCAGCAAGACGTAAGAATTTGCTTTCATTCCAGGGAGAATTGAAAAGTGCCAGAACTGTGCAAATAAAAGAAAACAATAGCCAGTATACTCTTGATAACTTTATACAGAAGCATTTGAAGGAATTATCACAAACTTCAACCTCTGATAAATTTTATTTTGAATTTGAGTGTAATCCTGCTGTTGACGATAACATGAATTTAGGGCTGACAGACTGGGCTCTTTGTGGTACTGATAGTTCTAGGAGAGCTTTATTAAGAGAGTCGACGTTTGTACTGGTATTTGCTCCAGTTTCTTCAGAATTAATTTCGACTTCACTATTGCAAGCTCGCGTGTATGAGGCACTGAGATCAGGGGCGATCCCAGTTATATTAGGAGGAGATCAGATACGCTTAGCTTATGACGAAGTTATACAATGGAGACGAGTTGCTATATTCTTACCAAGAGCAAGGGTTACAGAGTTGCATTTTCTATTACGCACGTTTCCAGATTCTGATATTCTTCTGATGCGACGTCAGGGCCGTTTGGTTTGGGAACGGTATTTAGCATCGGTGCAAAGTACAATTGACACTATAATTGCCGTCATCAGGGATCGTTTGAACATTCCACCTTTACCTGTGGAGTCGTTTCCTGCACTTTCCGTTTTCAATGAAACTTTTCAGCCCATCCGAACGGTTGTGAACGTGGAGGAAGAACAGGATGAAAGTTTAGGACCATTGGAACCTCCTTACAATAGTCCTGCATTTAAGAGGAACTTCAGTTTAATGTTAACCCAAGGTTATGAGATTTGGAACGATTGGGGCGATCCATTCCATTTGTACCCTTCATTACCTAAAGATCCAATGTTGCCGTCTGATGCGAAATTTATGGGATCCGAAAGAGGTTTCCGACCTATTGGGCTAGGACAGGGAGGTGCAGGTAAGGAATTCTCAGAAGCACTGGGAGGAAATTACCCAAGAGAACAATTTACGATATTGTTATTAACGTATGAAAGAGATCAAGTTCTTCTGGATTCGATTGCTAGATTAAGGGGACTTCCTTATTTAAATTCTGTTCTGGTTGTTTGGAATTCCCCAAAGCCTCCCAGTCCCGAATTGCGTTGGCCCGACATTGGTGTTCCTGTCCATGTTATAAAGGCAGCGCGAAATTCATTAAACAACCGATTTCTTCCTTTAGAAAACTTGAATACTGAGGCTATACTTTCAGTAGATGACGACGCACATCTTAGACATGACGAAATACTCTTTGGATTTCGCGTGTGGAGAGAATATAGGGATCGCATTGTAGGTTTTCCCGGTCGCTACCACGCGTGGGATATTAATACTGGTAATAGTTGGTTGTACAACTCGAATTATAGTTGTGAATTGAGTATGGTGCTAACGGGGGCTGCGTTTGTTCATAGACATTACTTTTATCTCTATTGGAAGATGTTGCCTCAAGCAATTAGGGATAAAGTTGATGAGTACATGAATTGTGAAGACATTGCCATGAACTTTCTCGTTAGTCATGTAACGAGGCAACCCCCCGTGAAAGTTACCTCAAGGTGGACCTTCAGGTGTCCTGGTTGTCCACAGAGTTTGTCTGAAGATGACACGCATTTTAGAGAAAGGCACAAATGTATTAATTTCTTTTCNACATTTTTGTTGTTCAATTGCTGGAGATTTTTTCAAGTATTATATGCATCTAAGTAAAAGTAAGATTAACATATATAATGGATAAAAACGGGAAAAGACAGGGAATGGTTATTTGGTATATAGAGAAAAGATTTATTAAATAAATGAATGTTGCACTTCAATAAATTTGTTTTTGATAATAACAAGTACAATAAGTCTTGATTTTTAATAAAAAACATTAAGTTCTTCGTCGCATTTTATCGAAAGATGCCTTCGTGATTGGCACATTATAGGTAGTTTCAAAAAAATCACCGACCAAGCCGATGTTACTTTGTGTTAACTCTACTTAAGTAAAATCAATTAAATTATAAATTATCATCTCGTATTTTTATTTATTTAAATGACAAAAATACATGTTCTATAAAGGGAAATTAATCCCTGTGTGTACACTAGACTAAAAGCAGAAAACTTACTAATAAAAACAAAATAAACTAAATACACTTGTTAAACTAATAAATTCATCAACAAGTATTTTTTTCGTTTGCATAAAATCAAATTGGTCGGCAATTTTCTAATTTTTTTAACATAAAAACTTGTAATAGTCTGGAAATCTAGTTGTAAAATGGGGGAACCAGTCTTTTAGATTAAAAAGAAAAAATATTGATAATAATTTATTACCTTAGGAAATCACAAATAATCTGATACTATGTACGATTTAACAGGAACGTTATTTAACGTAAAACAGTTTCAGGAGTACTATACAATGCATATACTTTTACCTACTCTAGATAATAAGTGTGTTATCAGCATCCCAACTGGTAGCCTTAGTTTTAACAACTAACTCCATAGATTTTGGAGGAGTATTTTCACATTGTACACTGAACCGTTTTTCTTTTAGTTTCTTCTCTCTTAAAATAGGGATTTTACTGCCAGAGTGTAACTTTGTTGGTTTATCATTGACTTTTAGCTTTAGTTTTGTAGGACATTCATTGCAGTTGCGAATACTCAGTGGTGTTTTGCAATTTTCTTTAATTTTAATTTGATTTAAATCATCTTGCAGTGTATCTTCATAGATCAAATTTGTGAGTTTTTTGTTGAATTCTACTACACTCGGAGAAAGCAAATTAAGTGATTTTCTTGGGATCTTTATCTCTTTTGATAGTAAATCTGGCATTTTTGGAACCTTGTTCTCTTTTTTTGGCGTTTCAAGCAATTTTTTGTGTGACATTTCTGGAGAATTATTTGAATATGTTTCATTTTCATTTTCGTCCTCTTCAGTAACTAATCTGTGTAAAATGCTGCTGCTATATTTTATTTGTACTGCTTTTATTGAGCTTAATTGAGAACTAAGAATGGAAATGTTATCTTCTTTGTTATCATTTGTTTGTATTTCTTCATTCAATACATTTTTTTCCAGACTTTTCCTATTTTTAACTTTAACAGGACTGTAAGTTAGATTATCAATTACTTCCACAGGAGGACTTAAAACATCATCCAAATTAGTCTCTAAAAGACCAGGAATGGCTTTACAGTCAATTTCATCTATTTTATTTTTTTGTACTAAAGTTGTGGATTTAGATCTTTTTAATTCTACATTGTTGATTTCATCACTTTTATTAATCAAGTCAGTTTTTAAGTTAATAGCAGAATTATACCTGCCTATATTATTTAATGTAGATCTGTTAGGCTCTGAATGACCAAGTTGTTTTTTTATATTATCTAAAGCTTTATTACGCAACTTTATTTCATAATTAGGATTTTCTTCAACTACAATTGGAGTACGAATAAATTCTGTGGTAGGTGAACGGGGATCTGCCTCAACAACTGTACTACACTTATTTTTTACATGATGATCTGTTGTTCCTCCTAAGACTTCCCGATTTAAAATCTGCTAGTGTTTTATAAAATATCAAAAACAATTTAGTAAAAGTTGAAATAATTAAATGATTGAATATGTTTACCTCTATAGGCGTTCGAGCTATGTTAGAACTTGGAGACCTAGGATCAAGTTCTAGATACCTTATTGGAGTTGCAAGTGTTGGTGTAGAATCTGACGCTGTTTTATTCTTTTCAGTAGGTTCTTCTGGTTTACTAATTGGATTTCCCATAATTACTACGCTAACTAATGTGGAACACACAGTAACTATAATGCCACTTATAATGTTGTCTTCTATTTTAATTTAGATATTTGTTAAATGCATTTATTCAATTGACAATCACGAAATCAACATTATTTAAAATTAAACAGAGATAAACCAAAGATAAACAAAACATATTCGTTATAGTTACTTTCATACCAACAAAAGGTAACAGAGCTAAAGAAAAGTTACTAAAATGTTATTGACGCGCGCCAAAAATGTTTTTTGTTTTAAGAAGGCTGGAATATATATTTATTGGCATAAAATTATTAATGTAGAACAGTTGAAGAGCAAGTCAATTAGGTAAATAAATAGGTGAAGTTCATTAAAAATTAATCACTAATAACATTAGATAATGTCTCAATTTCCTAATATATATTCTGAACATGAAACCTATGATGAAGGAAATAAAAAGTTTGCCATGGAGTTGGAATTTATACGAACTATGTTAGCGCAAGAAAATGTTCAGAATTATGAACCAGATGTACTAACCCATTTAGCAGACTTTACAAACAGTATTTTATTACCGTAATATTTTAAAAATGCGAATGAAAGTATAATTTTAGATTATATTTTGCAAATAATTGAAAACGCTCTAGTCTTTATGAATCTTATGGATAGAAAAAATATTCTGATATCTGATGTAAAATTAGCTCTAGAAGTTATGCACAAACAGGCTGAAAGTAGTAAAAGATTGTCTTTTCAGGTAAAGAATAATTTTTCATTTAAAATAAATAAGAATATATTTTTTAGGATTTAATGGCTTTATCAAAGGTCCACAACAGGTCTAAAGTATTTTATAATCGTGAATTTTATGGATTGCCTATACCAGCAGACTCGATAAATAAAAATAATTATAAAATGCGAAACATACACAACTTAAAGGTAAGTATATATAAATATGCAACATATGCTGGTATTTTTTGTGTTGCGCTGTTATTAATGTGAAACCCCAGTTAGAAATACAGGTCGATAATAAATCGAGAAAAAGTTGAAAAATAATCAACAATAAACTTATATCGAACTCCTGAGAAGGTAATTGAATGTTAACAAGTAGGTAATGCTTGTTCTAATTATCACTTTTTTAATTGTCGCCTTGTCGACCATTATAATTTTTAATTGCTAGCGTTGTCAGCCATTTTTTTTTTAATTGTTGCCATTATCGGCCATCATGACTTTTAATTGATAGCGTATTATTTATGTTGCTAGACATTATTCTCTTTTATTATTAGAGTTATTTAGGTAGTGTTGGCTGTTAATTTGTTAATGTTAACAGCATATTAATTATACTCACTGTTCGCATTATGTAGGGTTTGCGCTTTGCGAAGTTTACACTAACGAATGTCTATTGTATTTGTGATAGGTTTTAAAAAAATTACGATTGCCATAGATTACAGATGTATAATTCTTATTACAGTACATGTATATTTCTCTAATCTACGACAATTCCTTAGCTATTGATAACTTTATCAGTGGCTTAATACACTGATTTTCTTTAATTTCTGGCGAGGGGGATAACCTGTCCCTTTTTATACGACCCTGTCCTGTGTTACGTGTTTTCATATGTTTTTTTAGTATGGAACTTCTGTAAGTCCCATGGTTGATATAACAAATATGCAGACACAAATTTCTAGCCTTGATACTAAAAAGCAGATAAAGTTGCAAGGGCATGTCTCATCTACAACAAATATTCCACCAAAAATTGTAATAAAACCACAGTTTCAAACACCAAATACAGTTTATTTAAAGCAAATGAAAATGGAGATAGACCCATAAATGTTTCACTGTGACATTCTTTGTTTTTGTTGACATGTTACTGGATATTCCGTTACAAAATGTTTAATTATACTGAAATACCTCTATTAATAAATAACTGAAAAGAGAAAATCCAATGTCCCATTTGTTCATTTTATTTAAAACATGTTGAATAATTATTTAACAATAAATATAAAAGATTCATTCACATAATTGTAGCTTTATAACTAATCATCATCAATCTCCATTTTTTTAACTTCTGAAGCTGCCTGTTCTTCCTTATAATGCCTGTATTCAGGCTTCAATTCCCACATATTTTTATGAGGATTTTTCAAATTGTAATTACACACTTCCTTAAGGATTTCTTTCAAATATGTAATGGGCTGTTTAGTTATTTTAACCAAATCTTTAATATTATAATATTGATGCTTTTCAAATGCAGCAAATAACATTTCCAATACAGCATCTTTATCATCCCTAGCTTTTTTACCTTCAGCCTTTTTCCGTTCTTGATATTCAATCTGTAAGAAAATATTTTAAGCATACTTCTCAGTAGTGACTAAATTTCACTTACATTGTGTTTATGATCAGATACTGGTTTATAATTTTGGACTATCTTATCTAATTGTTTCACTTTACGAGTTGGTACAGATGCTTTACGTATTGAATCTAATTTTAATTTCATATAACAGTTATCTGCATAAGGCCTACATTCTAATTTTTGAACAATTCTACCTTCCATAAACAATTTTTCTGATTCTGGTACTACTGCATCTGTGTTTGTTGCTAAAAAATAAACATGAAACTATGATCAGATGTCATCACAAAAAATGTAAAAATATTCCTACGAGTCATATGTGAAAATACTCCAAGAGTTTGTTGAGTTACTGTGGAAACATCAAGTCTGTGATCTTTTGGAATATTTTCTTCTCCATTTTCGTTTAAATTCAAAACAGCAGGAGAAAGTGTCAATGAAACTTGCGCTTTTTGTCCAGGCGTTCTACAGATTATAACATTACTTTTGATTAAGATTACAGATTAAACATACTTTGTTATTTTTAATTTTCCCACTTCGATGTCTCCAGGTGCTTTTTCCCATCTGTTAGCAATATACTTTGGAACTTTAACCAACCAAACTCCCCTATTGGCATTAGATAAATCTAAATCTCTATCCAAATGAGTACTTGCAGCAGCCATATCTTATCTTATAATTTGTCAAATTACAATATATAGGTAATTATTAAATCTTTAATAAATAACACAAATCACTAAAAACATTAAAAACCATGTAAAATTAACACAACAATAATTCCACTTTAATATCTTACCATTGTCTTACCACAGATTGCAGAAATATATACAGTCATTACATCATTACATCCACCCATAGATTAGACGATACACGATAGCATCCACCATAGCATCATAGTGTTATGCATATATGCAATGCATTGTGAATGTGGAGCAATCATTGAAAGCAATACATACAGTGCGCATAATAATAATAATAATTATTATTAGCCCGTTTTCACTTGCTCAATGTTACCAGTGCAAACTGAGAAGTCCAGGATAATAATAATAATAGATTAATTTCACCCATGTATAATTAGATAATGCATAATAAAAAAAGAAAAGTTCCAAATTTGGAATATACAAAGGAAAATGTTTGTTAATGGTTATGATAACATATTATGTCATTTCCATTATCTGAATCAGAACACGGATACTAGAAATCCATGAATTAGAGAAATAAGTTCGAAAAATTAAATAGTCATAAGGGCATGGGGTTAGGATTATAAGATTAAGGTATGAAGATGATATNTACTTCACACATGCTATTTAGGAAACCTTTAATCTAGTAAAGCTGTAAACGTTTATTACAAGAGTTCTACATTGAAAACTCCAAATTTAGTTATTTTATCTATATTAACCTTTAGTTATCTTTACATTAATCTTACATTATTTTTCAACAATAGTTTCATTTTACAATCCCTATTTGATATTCACAAAATGTTATCAATTCTCTTGTCTTTCCATTAACTATTTGCGAACAGTAATGTAATCTAGGTTTACCTCTACTCCACCTAACTCCTGTTTCTGTCACTAATATGTCTCTGACTAGACCTTCATACCTGAAAAGGTATTCTATCAACCTATCTCGCCTATTTTTTATTAATTTTCATATAGTCTTCTGTTCTTCCATTCTTTCTAAAACCTCTTCATTTCTAACCTTCTGTATCCACGGTATCCTCATCGGTCGCCTGTAACACCACATTTCGAATGTTTCTAACCTTTTCTTTTCCTCAACGCCCACCATCTATGTTTCGCACCCGTCAGCGCTGAGCTCCTAACATACACCTTTAACAATCATTTTCGAATTTCTAAATCAGTCGTTCGCGAACATAGAAGTGACTTCTTTTTATTGAAGGCGACTCGACCCTGCGCTGTCCTCTGCTTTTGTATCCTTACTAGTCAGTCACTTCTTCTAAAATTTTGACCTTACAACCCAATATTATTTTCTATTTTTTTAAATCCTCGTTAACTGATTCAGTGACATTCGTCCCATGTCCCAACATTCTCACATGTTTTATGCTTTCTTCCTCTTTTTTACATATCACAACCCCTACATTCGTTCCCTGTCCTAAATCTTGCTACCACACTTGTCCCCTTTCCCTCTTGTAAATACTTTGGCGCCCATTATCCCTGACAGTCCCTCCATATAATCCCCTTCATACCCACCAAATATCCAGATATCTCTTAAATCCTCTCCCCTTATTATTTCCTTGCATCTATTTCCCACCAATTTTTCAACCTTTTTCCTTTCCTTGAACCATTCCCTCATCTGCTCGTGATTTATTTTTATTATCTTTAAGGCTCCCTCTCTTTCCCTATCATATCCACTTTTTATTCCTATTTTCATTACCTTCTTCCTCCATATTTCTTTCCTTCTTCTAGCATTCCTAATCCATCCTCATATTTTACTACCCTTTTTATTGCTTCTTCCTACATTTTATCTCACTTCTTATTACATAGTCCGACGTATATCCTTTTTATATATCTTTTGTAGAATACTTCTACCTGCCTTTTTTATTCCCATCCCCAAAATTTTAACACTCACAAGGAAATTAAAACCTATAGGGTACTTCCCTTTGACTTAGAATTAGAAAGATTGGCAAGAAGCAGTGCCTTATTATAGCACAAATAAAAGGGAACAATCCAAAAAACGTAAAGGACTCGACTAGGTCCTTACGGAAAATAACTCTCTGTCAAACTCTTTAAAATTTCGGATTCTGGTATTTCGTCGTAAAAACTCATCTTTTTTTGAGATATGGTCCCTTAAAGTTGCATTCTTCCTTAAGGACTTTTAAGGTACAATTATACTTATTGTACGTATTGTATATATTCAAGTATAAACGCATACGTTGATGTATTGTACCTATGTGTTTGGGGACTGATTTTGGAAGGAAACTTAAAACATGGAATAAATCTTCAAAACTCGATTTCCGGAACCGGTTTTTTTTTTTAATTAATAATTAAACGATTCTGCCCTGGATATCCTTAATGGGCAATCGAAATAGTTCCATCTATCTTCCTCTAAGTGTGTTTTCCTGCAAGGTTTTAAGTAAAGTTTTATTAACCCCGTTTTTAATGTTCCGTATCTCAGGATGAGAAAACGAAACCCTTAAAATCAGCACTACAAATAAACTCGAAGAATCAGTGCTTTTGTTGAAGTAAAACGTAAAACCTCGATAATAATTCGTTGTGTAAATAAGCTTCAGACGTTTTCGACCTTTCGACCACAGTTTTCTCTCGCACAACGGCGTAAAACGACGCTGGACGGAAATACTTACTCGATATTTTTAGTTTCCTTCAAAGAGTAATCAACAGATGCGAAAAGGGATTTTTATGGGTCACTAATGTCGTCAACGGTGTACCACTGACCCGTTAAATGTTCCGTTCGACAGTTTCCTACGTCTTACAAACACCACGCCGCATTGCCACTAACCAATAAATACAATCAATGGATTACGAACACACAATTTCACGCTTTGACGAAACTACAAATTTATTACTAACCATAAGTCCCTAACCCGTAACTAAATGAATTTGGAGCGATACTGTTTACGAAAATTCCTAAAAAAAGTTGATAGAGTTGACCTCTACTGTACTAAAGTTAATTACAGTGAGTGGATTCCGTTTATTACGACCTTGGTTATAGCGACGTTAAATCTAAGTCCCTAAATTTAAAGCATACTTTAGTACATAATTCGTGTGGCTATAGCGACTTCGGGTATAGCGCCCAGTTCGGGTGTAGCGACTTTTTTTAATGAATCATTTGGAACAAATCCCTAGTAATCTCATGCAGATATAGCGATTGAAGTTGGCCGCCAAAGACAGAAAGAGCTTTCTTATCTTGTTCACTCCTAGATCTAAATGCACATTTACTGTCAAAAAAAAGGCGGAAATCGTTTCAAAATTGAAAAATAGTAAGAACTATACATATGTGTCTGTATTTCTTTACCCTGGACTGTAAAAACTTCCGGATATAACGACGGTATTACAGAGTCCGTTCGTCGTCCTTACACCCGAAATCCACTGTATATTCATAATATCTACTTTATGTACCTAGGTATGTTTAAATAGGTCTGTACCTTTGCAAAAACAATAGAAAATTATTCCGTGGTGGAAAATGGTACTATAAAAAATGTAGTACCTACTCTTCATTTTCATTTGCTCATCTTTCTACTTTTCACGCTTATTTTTCTAAAACCAAAAGCTTCGGAAAACCACCATATAGTCAAAACCGTTCTTGACGTGCAGGTCATACAATTTATGAAGTAAAAACTACAAACAATTTCGGCATAAGAAAATAGTATAAAAGACTAATTTTCAGTGGTTCTAAGTTCTAAGTTTTCATTAGCAGATTTCCCTTTTAACACTTAAGTGACAACTTTGACAATATGAATAACGAAAAGCAATTATCTTATTTTTACATCCTCAAGTAGAAACCAAAACAAAAAAAAGAGTAGATACTTTGATGTTTGTTTTTAATAATAATCTATTTCGAGAAAGAAAGAGATCTGGAAATTCCCCAACGAATATCCAGGTGTAGGTATCTATCTATATTTTTTGACTCCTGTTTTTCTATTTAATTCGTACAGTTCGTGATATTATGAGACCGGATTTGACTATAAATACGTAAAATAGTATTCATTTAAAATTTCGGCGGTGTAATAGTGACGTACCCCCTCCAAATAGCAAACACGTGTACCACCACGAGGCTCGTGAACGGCCGTACGTGGTCGTGGTGCAGATGAAACTTTGTCAACTGACGAACGTCACCCCTACAACTAGACGAAATCATCCCCTGAATACTGGCGCAAAAAAAAAGACGTGCATTCAAACTGCCACAACGGATTTCATAACTAGAAATCGTACACCAAGGGAAAAAAAAAGAAAAAAAAATGAATGCAAAACAAAAAAATCTTACCACCTTGCTTACGGACAGGCATCGTCACGTCGTGGATTTTCTCCGTTTGTACGGGTTATGTCAGCAGCAGGTCTCTGTCTTGTGTCACCACGTGAAAAACCGTTCGATGCTTTCGATTGGCATCCGCGTACAAGACGACGCCGAAATTAAAAAGTTTCCGCCCGTTTCACAGCATCAAATAACGTTAAAATTTGTTCTGTCTATAAGGACAACGACGTCAATATGGCGCAAGGGCCCGCTAGCATTTAGTTATAACACTGGCTCCGCTGGGGAAGTTAGTTCGATTCTCGACGTAATCTGATGGGGTGGTTGCGTACTGAAAATAGATATCGGCTTCGACAGCTGTTGCCATCTAGCCTGGACGACGCGGAAAAGGGCGTCGCGACGGAGACGGTGACGGCAGCGGCGCAATGCCGTGACGCTTGCATCGCGACACCAAGCGACGCTTGCTGATAACTACAAGCAATATCAAGGCAGCGGTTTCTCTCCCGTGAATCAGTTTTTTTGTTCTGTATTATCCCACGGGATCTGCTCATTTCATAAAAGTATCGTATCGGACCCGCACACACGTTCCCTAGGCATTTACTATAAGTTAATAATTGAATAGTAGTAAATTAATACATAATACCTACTAAAGGGTAGGTATCAAACCGTAAAGAACTATTTATAAGAGTAAATAAGAGGGAGGGTGGGGTATTACTTAGTGTGACGAAATATGACAAGAGAGGAGCAGGTCCAAGAAAATGTGGCGTTCGCAGTCGTCAATTTTATTTTAATTTTTTCAACTTTAATAGTTCTTAAATTTTTTATTACGATAGAGTCATTTTCATTGTCATTCTTAATATTATATATAAAATAAATTACGAGTGCTGTCAGCACAGGGTAAAGTAGTTTGTAAATGAAAGTTAGTATCAGCAATTTCATATGCTGAAGAATACGATGTGTTGC